GAATAAGAGAACTTACTGATTAAGACTCGAACACGGTTGACCTTTCAATTTCAACCGTGGGATAATATCAATCAACTGTTCTTAGTCAAGAACAGTCAAATAACCTTATTCCACGATGAAATTGAGCCTAAAACTCGTGAAGAAATCGGAGAAGAAACGATGCCCGCTCAGGTTCCGAATTTAGATTCAATATTCGAGAAGCTTAAGGAACATTTGAAGTAACAGGGGTGTGGATTTGTGATGTGGGGGTGGAGGTGAACCTACGGTGTAAGTTTGGTTGGGATTGGGGACGGCGCCGCCGTACACGGCGGTGGCGGCGCTAGGGTTTGAATTATTTGAGACGTTTGGGTGATGTTTGAAAGAAACCAATAGCAGATATGGAACGGGGAGGTGACGAAGAGGACATGGTGTTAATTTCAGGGCCATTGGACAACCGCCGCCGGCGGAGGCAATTTTCGGCCAGCGGCGTGCAGTGGTAGGCGACAGAGGGTTCTCTGAAGTGTGAGAGATGAGTGGTAGGGGGGGTTTGAGGGGGGGGGGGGTATCGTTAGGACGATTATATAGTTATGGATGTAGGCTTCTCGACCGTTAGATCTTGTAACCTCGACGGTCCAGATTTAACAGGCTGAAACGACATCGTTTTGGGACGGGGGCAGGCCGGGTTAGGGAATGGGTATGGACCAGGCGGGTTTCAGGGGTTTAATTTGGACTCAAGACTTGGGCCTGGTGGAGAAATGGCCCAACTGCTCTCTTCTCTTCATTTGCCTTCTTTTCTTTTTATTTCTTTTTTAATTTGTTTTAAATTACAACTAAAAACAAATCTAAATTAATTCCTAAGCCTCGATTAACCCTAAAACTAATTAAACCTACATGATAATTAACACAAAATAAATTCAAAAGAAACACTACTCAAAATCAAAGTCAAAATTAAAATTGCGAATTGAACTATTTTTTTGTGATTTTTTTTATTTTTTTTATTAAATAACGTGATTACTAATTAATGCAAAATGCTAAAATTAGCTCCTAAATGCACATGCAACACTCCTTTTTAGTATTTTTCATTAATCAAAATGCACAGACAAAAATGCAAACAATTAACAGAAAATGCCACAAAAATTGCAAAATAATGAAAGAAATCATTTTGTTTGAATTTCTGGGAATAATTCATATAGGGCAAAAATCACGTGCTCACAGCCCTGACTGGGCCTGAAACGACTCCACTGCTGCTGCTGGCTAGACCCTAATAGCGGTGCACTAGCTGAAGACTATGCAACAGATTGGGATGGCACTGATGTCTCTCCCCGAAAAGCTGATCTTCCCCCTCCTAGTGACTCATCCATATTGCCCGTAGACCGGGTCTTTCTGTTACCCTCTCTCTCCATTCTGTTTTTCAATTTACGGTTCTCTGCGGCCTGAGCAAACGCCACCATCTTGCCATAATTCATGTCAGAATTCAATGCAGCTGTAGAAGCCTCGTTAATAGTTAAAGGATTAAGACCCTGAACAAATCGGCGCACCCTAGCCTCTATTGTGGGCAACATGTGAATAACATACTTGGACAAGCGGGCAAACTCCATATAGTACTCCCATACACTTCTGCTACCCCATTTCAGATTTTCGAACTCCACTGCACGGGCTGCCCTTGTCTCAACAGGCAGGAAATGATCTATAAAGGCATCAGCGAACTCACTCCACCTCGCCGTAGGGCTCCCCTCCTCGCGGGAATCTTCCCATAACTCGAACCACGCATAGGCCACCCCTTTCAGACGATAAGCAGCAACCTCTACTCCCTCTGTATCAGTTGCACGCATAAACCTGAGTGTCTTATGCATCTCATCAATAAAATCTTGAGGGTCTTCTTCTGGATTGGAACCCGTAAACACCGGAGGGTCTAATTGAAGAAATCTATTAAACTTGAACTGGTGGAATCCCCTTGCTGGCTAGATAAATTGGGTGCAACATTTGACCTCTGGGCCTGTGAGGCCACTAGCTGTGTCAACATCAAAATAGCTCCCCTAAGGTCCCCATCAAAGACACCAGAACCGGAAACTGGGACTGGAGGCGGGACAAGAATATCAATGGGAGGGAAAGTAGTATCCTCCGCAGGTTTAGGAACTGGGGTAGTCTGCTCTTGGATAGGAGAACTAGGCAGGGTGATAGCAGGGCGACTACCCTCACCCGCAGTATCAAGCAGTGATTCATCAGCCACTCCTGAGGTAGCATTGGCTCCTTGGCCAATTCTCGCTTTCTTCTTAGGTGCCATTTACTGAAAGATAGAGCAATGCACTAGTTAGAGGGGGGAATAGCTTCACAATTACCGCAAGATCCAGATTATTAAAGAAGGGTGTTATTCCTAATGCCCAACTAGCCTCCAACTTATAGATGTGGTCGACTTCACACCGATAAGAAGGACTCTACGAGACATGGCTCTGAGACGTCCTAGGACACTTCAAAACCTTAGGCTCTGATACCAAGTTTGTCACGCCCCAACCTGGGAGGCGCGACCGCGCTCAATCTAGTGAACCCCAACAGAGCAAGCCTTATTAATACTTTTCTACCCAAATTAATACGGTTGAGGGAACCACGCTATCATTTATTTAGAAGATAGAAATATTTGAACATTCACATTTTTAAACCATTTTCATGCCACAAACCTTAAACCATGGTTATGTTTTCAAGCTTTCATACAGTTATAGTTCAGAAGAGCTAGAGTACAAAGTTACAAAATGGTTCATTGACCTATCCAACACCCGTACATAACCCACACCAATGTCTACGGAGCCTCTAAGAATACAAAAGATAATAATGATAATGCCGACAACAAGGCCCCGGCTATACCTCAAAAGTGAATATCTATAACAAAAGGTGTACAACATAACCCCTTGAAGGAGAAAGGGGCTTACCAAGACTTTGAGAGGAGGATGCTCCGCTATGCATGATCGGCACTATCCGCTATGAAGCCACCTACATTCATCTAAAAATGTAGTGTCCCCGGCAAAAGGGATGTTAGTACCATGGAATAGTACTAGTATGTATAACTAAACACCATCCTGTCAGAAAGAACAACCATACGACAATAAAGAGGAAATCATAAAGACAACAAAGTTTCAAATAATCACCACATAAACAATATAAGAGGTTCACATAGTTTTCACAATGTTTCTGAAATTTTAGATTGGAGCATCCCACATTGTTGCATCATTATCCACATTGCCACCGCCTCCTTGAGCGGAGTTAGATCACGGCCAGAACGGCTAAGCCGTCTCCCTGAGACGTTACCATTATTTCATTCTCACTTTCCAGTTTCAATCATCAATACATTACCACCACGTGTGTATAATCTGGCGTCCGATCACGGCCCGATCGGATAAGCCGTCTCCTCGAGATGTTACCATTTTCCGTTAATCATCTCACTCCAATCTTTGGTTACACATGTTTTAGTTCATCGGCACTTGGGGCCCCAATTACCACATTCCATAACTCACATTTCACATTATTCCAAATTTCAACATTTACTTTTCCACTTAAGACCATAGGCACATACAAAAGAAGTTTAGGCTATAAGTATAGAGAGGAATTTATCTAGTTCGGCATATCAATCACAATGCAACCTTGACTTGACATTTAGGCATTTAGCACATAGATCATGTTCAATTCACCACACATTCTCAATTTATAAGGAGTAACACATTAAACACATGAAGAAGTACCTTCCACAAATATTTTTACAACATCAATTCATTTTACATAACAAGTACTGCATAAATCAAGTTACGAACTTACAACAATTGCACAGGCACCATGGAAGCTCAATTTCTAAGAGGACCGGGTTTTAGCCATACATACCTTAATGGAGCTTTCCTTAAATCTTTATAATAAATTTCGGGACTCTTAGCACTTCAATCTATTTTATAAAAATTTGCAAATTGAACCAAGAATTAGTGACATGATTAGGATTCTAGCTCATTTGAGCATATTACCAAGCACTAAGTGTGCACAGTGATTCTAGGACTCTTTTGTGAGAGGTGTCTATCATTTTATACCCCAATTGCTATCTTTTTAATTCACAGCCTCCCAATACTCTATGATCTTATATGCATGCAAGAAATCCATTTTCATACCCATGAACCCGCAAGCTAAGTATTCATACTAGTGTGAATTTCGAAACCGGAGATTTGGGCTCAAGTTTCTTACCTCTTGGGGTGAAAGCCTAACAAATTTTTGCTTGAGAGTCTTCAAGGACTTGGCAAGGATGGTGAGTTAGCTTCTCCATCTAGAGCTCCCCCCCCCCTCCCCCCTCTCTCTCTCTCTCTTTCTCTCTCTCTATCTCTATTTGTAGTAAAAATCACATAAATGAGATCTAATGGGTGTTTTTAATGGGATGGGATCGGGTTTTAAAAGTTAGAAAATAGGAGCTCCGACGAAATCTGCGATTGCATACCTGACATGCGGCCGCAAAATGGACCGCAAAAATGGTCCCAAAACCTGAACACACTACCTAGGTATGCGACAGAAATACGGTTCGCATACCTGTTCTGCCGTCGCATAATGCACCGGAGAATTGCCCCTTACAAAATCCCAAGGGGATTATACGATGACTATGCAGCCCGCATAGTAGTTATGCAATCGTATAATTGGCCGCATAGTTGACCTCAAATTATCCATCACACTGTCTGACTCTGCGGCAACTATGCGGTCCGCATAGCTATTCTGCGATCACATAGTGGACCGCAGAAATGCTATTTTCTTGAAGGTATTATTCCTTGACTTTTTAATGCATAGATCAGTCCAAAGGGTTTGAAAAGCGACGAGTTTGCGAGTTTTGAGTAGAAGTTTTCACGGGGCCTTAGAGATGCTTAGTCGATGGGTAGTTATCTTCGGTGGGATTCATGTCATGTCTAAATGGGACCAAGCAAAGCAATCGATGTTGTTAATAAGGAATTGATTGAGTTTCTTCTTCAGTTCGGGGGTTAATCCCATCCCCAGGTATACCTTCCGATCTAGGAGATGCTCGACCAATACGGCTTGCTCCAGCTCTTCGATAGTCGACTTCGTTGCATCCAACTCTTCTGGGGCAATGAAGGTTCTGGGGCGAGGAAATCCTCTTCATCATCCTTGGGGTTTGGTTGGCTTTCCGACTCTTCTGAGGAGGAGTGTACAGAATTTGGTACCTCTTTACGGACCGCGAACGTTTCCTTTATTGCATGTAGCTCTCCGTATATTGTCTTTATTCTGTCCTTTGTTGGAAACTTTATCATATGATGCATGGTCGATGGTACCGCCTTCATGTTGTGTATCCATGGTCTACCGAGCAAGGAATTGTACCTTGTGTCACCTTTAATTATATGGATCCTAGTATCTTGAACTACATCGGATACGTTAACCGGGAGGGTGATTTCTCCTTCTGTTTCTTCGTCGGCCATATTGAAGCCGTTGAGGATTCGGGAGGTAGGTATGACCCGATCGAGCAATTCGAGCTGTTCTACCACCGTTGATCTAACTACGTTGGCCAAGATACCTGGATCCACGTGTACACGTTTAATTTGGATGTTATTTAAGAGAAACAAGATTAGCAGCGCATCGTTGTGTGGACGAGACAAAGTCTTGAAGTCTTCTTCGCTGAATGCGAGGATGTCCTCAGATGCCCGGCCTCGGGTTTGTCCTTTTGTTGTCGCAGAAACCTTTGTCCGGCTGGTTACGGGCCCCTGGGGAATGTTATTCCCCCCGATATTCATATGAGCGATGTGTTAAGGTTTTCCCATTTCGCTTCCCTTATATGCCTTTATTTCTTCCCTAGTGAGGTTTTTCTGAATGATTTGTTGATTTCCTCGGCGTATTGTGCTGTTAGTGTGGGAATTTTTGCCAACGTGTTGAGTGTCGCGTGAGACCACGTCCATGGGAATTGGTTCTAGTGCATACTCAGGGTTTCGTGGTGGTGCACCAACACCTAGAACATCCACACCATTTTCTCCATGGTCCTCAAGATTGTTGTTTTCACGTGCGTTTACTGAGTTAGACATTTTGACCTCAAATCAAAAGATCTTGGACAAGAAAAAGTTCGAAAGGTAACTTGCGTTATGGAATGAACCAGCAAGAAAATAATACCTATAAATTTTAGCGCCACGGTGGGCGCCAAACTGTTTACCTTGAAAATGGTAATTACAATTAGATTTGATTTGGTGGTTCTAAAAATACGTGATCTATTTTTATGCTAGTTGTTTAGGCAATAGATGGTAAGTAAGAGATTAGAATATGAGATAAGAGCTTGTAGATAGTATAATTACCAAACTGAATGGATGGATATCGGGGCCTCGAGCTGGCGTATACGGGCCTCGAGCTTGAGCCGGATACTCGGCTAAGGGCAATCAAGGGGGGATTAATAGTTATGATAGCTTTGATGGAAGCCTTTTATGTTCAATGATGAGCAACAAATTAAGAACAATAAATAGAACGCAATGGATATACAAAATAAATGTAAGTAATAAGAACAAGAGAATACGTTAAGTTAGTGAGAAGAGAGAATGTTCTTGTGTATTAAATATTGAGTATCCAAAAGCCTATAAAATGACAAGGGTCCCCTTCATATATGAGGGGGAATCCCAACGTAGTACAAATACATTTATTACACAGGGCTGCTGGTACAACCACTCAATCATCCTGGTGTAGGCTATCACCGTTTGCGCATGCGTTATCAGAAAGTACTGCTCCAAGGTAACTTCCTGCTTACACGCGACAAGGACCGGTTCGTTCTGCCCCGACACCATGCACGAAGAATCCCCGAAGACATCGAACCCTGGGCTATTCCCCATATCCTTCGAGATGAGATTATGCAATGCTTTGTCAACCATAAATTGGTCTTCCCAATTTTAGTCGCATACAACTATGTTATGGCTATGCAATTAGACTATATGTTTCCTGCTATTCAATTAAACTTAGGTGTTACCTTGTAGTCAACATGTCTACTTCTGTTCAATCTATGTGTTTACTAGCATGTCTAGTTATGTTCAATCTATGTGTTTACCAGCATGTCTACTTATGTTCAACCTATGTGTTTACTAATATGTATACTTATGTCCAATTCATATGTTTACTACAATAACATTTCTACTTCTATTTGATTAAACGTAGGTCTGCATGCTTGCTCAAATCTAAATTACATCTATTTCTGTCTACTCCCCACTGGGGTCCCTGAGGCCTTTGGGAACTTTGACACACCAGGATACTATTGGGTGCACTATGAGACTATGGCACTTTGGACTGTTGAAGGCCTGGCTTTTCCAGGTTCATGTTTGGCCTATTCAGGCTCCCTATAGCATAATTTAGTTTACCTTTGCAATTCATTTGTTTTATGGTTTGTAATAATCTTTGAAAACACATATTGGGGATTATTAGTAAAATACGAGGGAATTATATATATATATATATATATATATATATATATATATATATATATATATATATATATATATATATATATATATTGTGGGAAATTGGATAGAAATCATGCTCTTAGGATCATTATAATTGTCCACTTGCATTCGAAACCATGCTTAGGGGATTATTTTTGTTCATGTTTATAGGTGCATTATATCATTTGTTCTAAAACTTCTGCTTTCTAAAGTTCTTCATATGTCATGCCTGTTTAGAAATCCTGTCACTAGGTTGATATTAACTTTGCCTAATAATTATGTTTTTTCTGTTATGTGTATTAGAAACCATGCTTTAGGACTTTTTATTACCCTTGCCTAAATACTATGACTGCATCTAGATCGTACAGAATCAGTTTCTTCAGTAGTATGTATGTCTATAAGAGTAATTTTAAGAAGCAGCCTCCATACTTAGGTATCGTGCCTATAGAGATAATGTGTATAAAAAATGTTCTATAACGTTTCCAGCTAGGCAGCATGCCTATAGGACACAATGAACTCAAACTGCCTTTAAAACTATTTTTGCTTGTTTATTGCATTTTTGATGAAAGATTAGATACTATGTTCATAGGACATCACTGTTACACGCCTAGGCCAGCCTGTAGGGCGACTAAAATCCTGCAAACTGTAAAATTACATTTTTGTGAACTTCCCAGATTCAACAGGTCTTAAAATCAGTAGGCAAACTGATTAGGTCTCTATCACCTCCCTTTAACATGATGTTGCATACATTCTATTTGCTCACCTAGATATCCTTATCTAGGACCTTTAGGTATGTCTGAAATCTTGATGTTGTATGAAATCATGATGTTTGAGACGTGCTATTGTTTGTTTATTTGTGGAGGTAAACGTGAGCTCCTTAAATTGTTCTTTACTTGACAGTCCTAATTGTTTTGATTTTCTCCTAGATTTTTCAACTTTAAGTACCTTAAGAAAGTCTAGAACTGCCTAAATTAGAGGTCCTAAATACCTCCAGGCCACAAGGAAGGGATGGGTAATGCACGCATAGAGTTCGTTCAATTAAAAGCGCTTATATAACCATTAAGGGGAGGCTAAATGGCTAGTAAAAGAATATGATGACATGTGCGCTAATGCCACGTGTAACCCCCCCTAGTTGACAAAGGTTTACTGGGTATTGTACATATGTGATCCTGTAGGCTAAAAAACCTAGGACCCTTTTTACCCCTTTATTTTAAATATATTATCAATTTGTGTAATTTGCTTTATCTATTTACAAGACTAATTCACATAATTTGAGTTCAGTCGGGACCCACCGCTGTGGACCGCGAGGGATGCCTAACACCTTCCCCTCAAGGTTATTTTGAGCCCTTATCCAAGTCTCTTGTAATGCAAATTTGTTTTCTGAGTTACTTTCTTTAGGTTCCCTAACGCACCTTAAACCCGTTAGGTGGCGACTTTTCAAATTTCTTACCCAATTCCCAAAAGGAAATGAGTTGTTCCTGATGAATGTCGAAACCCGGACTCCGCGATGAAAAAGGGGGCACGACAGTCCCATGGTATAACATTGGAATTAAATTACGATCTGGGTTCTACCGTCACACTGAAGGCGTGGTCACTTCCACCTCGAACGGAGTTGCCGTGGCTTAAGGCGTTGTTATTTCAACCTCAAACGGGGTTGGTGCGGATATTTCGACCTCAATTGGTGACTAAGTCTACACCACAGTAGGTGTGAGAATAACTGTAGATATTTTAGGTTCATCCCCTTTACGAATGAGCCCGATTGATCCTTCCGGATCCCATTCCTCACCAGTTCTATCACATTTACCCCTTCCCCTCTATGATCTGGGAGGGGGTTGTTGCGTACATTTGGTGTAGCCTTCTTTTGCTTGTATAACCTTGGTGTCAATCAACGTCTGGATCTTATCCTTTAAAGTGAGACATTCATCAATTGTGTGTTCCTTCATGCCCTAGTGATAGGCACATGTCTTGTTTGGATGGACCCACTGTGAGGAATTTTCCATGGCAACGGCAGGAATAGGAGTGACATAACCAGCAACCTTCAGTCTTTCATACAACTGATCTACGGGTTCAACAATAGGAGTGTATTGTCTGGGGGGTCTGCAGTTGAAATTTGGTCTGGGTTTCCGATCGTATTGACGGGCTGGCGGTGAGCAGTAGTATGCTGGCTAGGTATTGTAAGTATGTCAGGCGGTGGCGGGTTGTGGATATCTGGGAGGTGAAAGCTGATATGTGGGTGGAGGTGTTTGGTATGTGAGAGGAGATTTAAGGCCTTGGGCTACCATCACAGCCTCTACTTCCTTCTTCATGGATATGCCTCCTAATTGCAAGGCCTTGTTGGTATCTTGTAATGCCAAAATTGGTTACCATCCCGCTTTTAATTCCTTCTTCTATTCTTTCTCTCAAGTTGATGATGTCGGAGAATTTATAATTTTCAATAACCATTAACCTCTCGTATGTCATGACCCAAATCGATGTGCTGCGACGGGAACCCGGTGCCTTACTCAAACGACTACCTACATAACGTATGTTTTCATGTCATACTATCATAGATAACTGATCTAGAAGGCTTCCATGAGATAAGTAGAATACAACATGTGATACCAACTTATACATAAGACATACGGGCCTATAAGACCAAAATAACCACATGTACACTGAACATAGGTTGACAAGGCCATATAATCTTTTACGTACATGACATCTGTCTACAAGCCTCTAAGAATACATAATTTCATAAAGGTCAGGACAGAGCCCTACCATAACAAACAAAATACATCTAAATCTTACTAACCAAACAAGCAACTCCGATGCAAGTGGAGCGCACCAACTGATAGCCTACTTGGAGGGCTCTCGACCTGTCTATCTGGACCTGCGGGCATGAAATGAAGCGTCCCCAAGCAAATGGGACAACAATACAAATAATTTATCGAGTATGTAAGGAATAAAAATTAGTAAATAATAGACATGAGAAAAACATAGTGTAAAAGACTCAACATGCAAGTCTTAACAACTTTATGAATCTTTTAATATTAAAATGTCGTACATATGCGTGTAAAAAAGTCATACCATGCATGGGTATATGCATTCATAACATCATCAAGCTCTGACAGCATCCCATCATATCATCTCGGCCATTGTGGTCAAATTATCAACGTATACCGGCTGAGTAGGTGCTGGTGCATATATAACGCCATAAACGTTCCCATATCCCATATACATATATATACATGTATAAGTCCATCTGGTCATGGGTCAATATTCATGTATAAATGCATGAAATACATATCAAATACGTTAATAAAATCTCTCGATACGTCATAAGACCA